CCCCTCTACCTCTCAATCTCCCAGTTTGGTTTTAGTATTAGTGTGAGTTCCACAGCACTTGCTATATAAATAGACCTGCTAATTGAGCCCGTTATCAAACGCCTCTCTCTCTCTCTCTCCCTCTCTCTCTCTCTTTCACACACACACACACACACACAAACATACACACACACACACACACACACACACACACTCCCTCTCTCTCTGCTACAAAACCGCCACCCTAGCATGACCCCGCCCACCCCAACGCCAGTGTCCTAGTGACCCCGTGACCCATGATCCCACCCACAGTGAGGACACACAACAGAGTAGAGCAGAGCAGCAGACGTGAGATAAGAGAGAAGGGTGTGGCAGCCTGAGTGAGACAGACAATCAATCACCCATTTCAATGAAATGGTAAATATTATTTTACGGCCTCTTCGACACAATCTAGTTCATTAAGGTACCGGGTAGCTTCTATTTTAGTTTAGTTTTAGTAAGAGTATTACGGCATTTGCAACACAATAAGGTCATATTATAAGTGTCGAAGATTAGAGGTGTTACAAGAGAGTAACAAACATAAAAAAGAAGGAAGGGAGATAGAGACGAAAGATTTTTTTTTATATAGGAAAGAAGGAGCAAGCCACACCAGAGCACCCGCCAAACACCCACTGCTTCTATTTTAATTGATTGCATGTTAGGCCCAGCCACAGAATTCTACGGTAAGTGTAGAATTCTGTGGGCCCAGCTAGCACCGAGTTTTAGTTTCGTTTTCGTAAGAGTTTTACGGCACTTGCAACACAGTTAGGGCGTACAAGTGGCGCCGAAGGTAAGAGGTTGTTTTAGCAAAGTTTTACGGCGCTCGCAACAGCATATTAAGGTCATATGAGCACCAGAAGATTAGAGGTCTTACAAGGGAGGAGTAACAAACACGAAACAGGAGGAGAGATAACAACGGTAAACGTTTGTTGAGACAGAAAGCTCGAACCGTAACCAGATCACCCGCCAACCACCCACAGTCATTGTTTGTCGAGGCCAGATCGTGAAGACACCTTCCAACATGGTGATCCCTGGGCCCCACCGTCCTTCACACCTCCCCCCCCCCCCAACCCCCCCCTCCATACTTCACAACCGTACAAAAATAATGGTTTAATTTTGATGTCAAAAATGTTGAACAAAGTTTGACTGCACACTCCTCTCTCTCTCTCTCTCTCTCTACACACAGTACAGACACACTCACTTAATCATGTTCTCTCCCTCTCTCTCTCCCTCTCCTCCGCACGCGTTTGCACACTCACTCACTCACATACCTCTCACTATCTCCAACCTTATTTAATCCCATAATTTATCAGTTCTGCCCCCCCCCCTTTTATTTGTAACATCAGAGCTACTATACTAACAATTACTTGGTTTCGTTCACCCTCGTTAGAACAATAACAGGCCTAACGCGAGCCCAGTGCGTTTACCGTCCCAATCTATAAATAGAACAGTTCTCTTTGCTTACGCTGCGTGAAGCACATGGATGCAAATCCTTGCATGGGTGTCATAGACAGCGCACAAGCTGAAGATCAACTGTCTCGTTTACGTTGCTCGGTTTCTGCTGCACACGGACACCTCAAAAGGAGTAAAAATGGGGCTCTCGTGGTCGAGAGGTTATACACCCGGTGTTCGCCTCTTAGTCAATACTACTGTCTTTCGAAAACACCCCTAATCTTGGTAGTAGGTTAGATATACACGGTCTAGCCTTCTCGGATACCGGCGAAAAATCTCAGAGGTCCTGTGTGCAAGTTGCGCGCGTTACAGATCCCTTGGTGGTCCTAAATCGATAAGAGTAGACCTCGGCCGCCATCCAGGCAAAGTCAAACTGAAAGACATAAATGTGTCCCCGGCGCTCATTTGATCTTAGCCGAGAGAGGAGAGAGAGAGAGAGAGAGA